AGATAGGTTGCACCAATATTATCACACCATAGTCTAGCAGCTTTTGGAGTCTTAATTCCAAGCTCATAAAGTAGTGTTTGTATCCACATTACTTCAGTTGTGGTATTTTCCAAAGCTTTGTATTCTGCCTCTGTACTCGACCTAGAGACTGTAGCCTGCTTACTTGCACTCCATGACACAAGATTGGACCCTAGAAATACAGCAAATCCACCAGTAGACCTCCTATCATCAATACATCCTGCCCAGTCCGCATCAGAGTAGGCAGTAACGAGCATAGAAGAAGACTTGGTAATCTAAAGTCCAAGTCCCTTTGAAAACTTAAGATACCTCAAAATTCTCTTAACTACAGTCCAATGAGTAGTGCTAGGATCATGTAAATACTGACATACCTTGTTGACATCATAAGAAATATCAGGTCGTGTAAGTGTTAAATATTGCAATGCACCCACGCCTGTAATTTGTTGCATCCTCTGATCCAAGTACCTCTCCACTTTCAACAGAAAGTTTTCCAGAAGTTGAGATAGGTGTATTCACAGGTTTACATTTTTCCAAACCTACTCTCCTGAGTATACCAGCTATATATTTTTCCTGTGTCGGAAGTATACCATCTCTTATCGGTTTGACCTCTATGCCAAGAAAATAATGAAGATCTCACAAATCCTAGAGGGCGAACTCCAACTTAAGATCCTTAAGCAAACAGGTGGTGGCACTTGAACTTGAACTAGCAACTATAATATCATCAACATAAACTAGCACAAAAATAGTGACATTTCCTTTATTATAAAAGAACAAGGATGTGTCTGCCTTGGATGGTATGAATCCAAGTTTTTGTAGTTGCATGCTCAATCATGAATACCAAGCTCTTGGAGCCTGTTTTAAACCATATAATGCTTTATCCAATTTGCAAACATAATGTGGTGTACTCTGGTTTTCATAACCTGGTGGCTGCCGCATGAATACCTCTTGCTCAAGAACACCATGAAGGAACGCGTTCTGAACATCTAGCTGTCTTAAGCTCCAACCTCTGGAAACAACAATAGACAAGACAAGTCGAATAGTAGCTGATTTAACAACTAGGCTAAAGGTATCCTCATAGTCAATGCCAGACGTTTGCTTAAAACCCTTAGCAACTAATCTAGCCTTGTACCTGTCTATACTTCCACCAGACTTTCTTTTTATCTTGTACACCCATTTACAGTCAATGATATCCATTCCACTTTTTTATGGTACTAGGTCCCACGTTTTGTTTTTCATAAGTGTGTCATACTCACTATCCATGGCTTCTTTCCAATTTTTGTGAGCAAGAGCATCAACTAGATTAACTGATTCACCAGCAGTAGTGAGGAAAACACGTTTTTTATCATACCTGATGGTACCATCTTTGTATTCTTTTTCCTTAGTAATACCTGATTGAGACCTTCTGTGACGCCGCGGAATTATTTGTGCAGCAGATGAAACTGCCACAGAAGATCCAGCCACCTGATCATGCCCAGCCGCCGCGGGATCGCGCGCCAGATCTTCTGTGGATGAAATCGGCCTCGAGATCGATCCTCCAGTCGAGGCGTGCCGCGTGTCGCCCGCTGAGCCCGTGCGGGTGGATGTGCACGTCGAAGCCCGTGGGCTGGGCCCAGCCGCGGTCGCCCTGTTGGGCGGCTGGTCGGCCACCCCTCGGGTCGTGAACTCGTGGCGAGCGGAGAGTCGCCCCCGCCCCCGCCTGGGCTGGTGGACTCCACGCTGTCGCTGTCGGCCACCGGGTCGCGAGCCGCCTCCGCCCGTAGCTGGAAGGAATCCTCCTCGGATCGGGCGCCAATGATTGCGCTTGCGCCAGGATTTTCCTGGGATCGTGCGCCAGATTGCCTGTTGTTGCTGGCGGGATCCTCCTTGGGGCTATCGACGACTACGTTGGCTATTTCTAGACACATAAAATCATGAGCTGCACCTGTACAAACATCATTAGAGGTGCAATTTTCTATGGATTTGTTCACATGGTCAGCTTTAGATAATTCACCCCCGTGATCACATATTGTGTCAAAATTCAGAAGGAGTGCTATTTCAGCACGAAGGAGCGCGCCTACATTGGGATGAAGTTTGGCAAAAGGAAAAAGGGTTTCATCAAAAACTACATCTTGAGAAATATATATACGTCCAGTTGCAATTTCTAGGCACTTGTATCCCTGGTGTAAGTTACTATAGCCTAGAAAAACACATTGCGTAGAACGGAATTCAAGTTTATGTTGATTATATGGACGTAAATTCGGGTAGCAAGCACACCCAAAGATTTTGAGAGAGTTGTAGTCAGGTTTTTGATGATAGAGACGTTCCAAAGGAGTAGAGTGGCCAATGTCTTTGCTGGAAAGACGATTAATGAGATATGTTGCTGTAAGAAACGATTCAACCCAATATTTTAGTGGCATAGACGCATGAGCAAGTAGGGAGAGACCAACTTCAACAATGTGATGGTGTTTGCGCTCGGCAGAGCCGTTCTGTTGATGAGCATGTGGGCAAGAAACATGATGTTGAATGCCTATGCTACGGAAGAAAGAGTTGAGTTTTTCATACTCCCCTCCCCAGTCACTTTGATCTGTAAGAATTTTCCTGTTAAAGTGCCTTTCAACAAGTTTCTGAAATTCTTGGAAGATAGAGAAGACTTCAGATTTATATTTGAGTAAATAAATCCAAGTGAACTTGCTATTGTCGTCAATAAAACTAACATAGTATTTATTTCTTCCAAAGGAATCTCTTGCATGACCCCATACATCACTGAAAATAAGCTCTAAAGGAGCATGAGACACGCTATCTGACTTGGGATAAGGAAGTTGGTGGATCTTGGCACACTGACAAGCTTCACAAACTGACTCATTATTTTGACTATGTGACAAAGAAAGTTTGTCTTTATTGACTACTTGCTTAACTATGATCGATGATAGGTGTCCTAATCTTTGATGCCACCCTTCCAAGGAGGGTTTGATGGCAGAATAAACTTGACGACGCTTGCGACTAAGTGCTCCGGATGTGATGGGGTAGAGCCTTCCAATGCATCTACCGTGATGAAGAAGTTCCCGTCGTTGCCCGGTCCTTTATAAAAAAGTAACGAGGGTGAGTTTCAAAGAAGACATTATTATCAATGGCTAGACGAGACATAGATGCAAGGTTTTTGTCAGCTTGTGGAACATGAAGGACGTCTTTAAGGACTAGATCACGTTTGAGATTAGAGGAATTAATGAAAGCTTGTCCAATGTGACAAATATCCATACCTCCACCACTTGCCGCGGTGTGAATCTAGTCGACGCTGTGGTATCTCTCTCGTAGTGCAAGTTGTTCTAACTCGCTGGTGACATGATCTGTTGCACCCGAGTCCACGTACCAAACGCCATCTCCTCCTCCTCCTTCTTCACGGATGGCTGCAGCATCATGACGAGCGTCGGGGACGAAGTCTTCGTCATATCTGTGCCAACAGTCCATGACCTCATGGCCCGACTTCTTGCATAGTTGGCAGCGAGGGCGGCGATTTGAGGAAGCGCCGCAGCTGTTGTTGTTGTTGAAGCCACCACCTCCCATGTTGTTGTTGAAGCCGTCGCCTCCTGAGTTGCTGCCACCACCAGAACGAGCGCCCTCGCCCTGGTAGTTGCCGCGGCCACGACCGCCGCCGTTGGCATTGCGACTCTATCCCTAGTGACCGCGCCCACGAGCCGCTGAGTTGAAAGAGGAATGTCTGATGTTGGTGCTGTGAAGGAGAGCGAGGTGAGTATCAAAGCTCAAGAGCTGGCTGTACAGCTCCTGAACCGAGACTGGCTCAACCCTAGCAGACAGGGCGGACACGACTGGATTGTAATCCAGATCGAGGCCAGCCATGATCTTGGAGACGATCTCGGGATCGGGAAGAGGGACTCCGGTGCAGCATGCGACTTCATCTGTAAGAGTTTTGATTTTGCCAAGATATTCTATGGTGGACATGTTACCTTTCTTCAGGTTCGTGAGCTCGATGCGGGTGTTGATGGCCTGACTTTGGCTCTGGGCGGCGAACATGGCGTTGATGGCGCTCCATACTTCGGCCGGCGTCTGGAGCGTGGCAACTTGAGCAAGGATCTCACGGGACAGAGATCCCATCAGATACCCTTGGAGTTGTTGCTGCTGTGCGTACCAGAGAGTTCGGGCGAAGTTGGCGATCTGTTCTTCTTTGCCATCTTTGGTGATGGTGAGGGTGGCCGGTGGTTCCGGACTCTTCCCATCAAGGTGGTGCTCCATCTGTGCGCGTCTGATCTGTGGTAGCACGACGGCCTTCCATAGAAGGAAGTTTCCCCTTGTTAGCTTCTCCTATGGTGGCGGTCCGAGAGGAACAGAGCTGCTGCTGGATGATGATGCGAAGGTGGAGGACATGGAGGTGGAAAGCGTGCTCGTGGTGGAAGATAGGGCTGCGGAGGAAGACATGATCTCAGCCGCGGGAAGGTAGCTAGATGCGATCTTCGATCTGAGAGGAAGATGCTCTGATTACCATGTAAGTTGGGTTGGAAGCGTTGAAGCCTTTGTCTCGGGCCGCATGTTTATATATATTGGCAATGCCTTAGAGTACAAGAAGAGATCGGGAAGATCGATCTCAGGGAGAGTTCGGTACAGAGAGAGGAAGAAAAGGAGATAGAGATAGATTACAGTTTGAATGAAATATCTCTATCCTATACATACTCTAACATCTAGGGCCATTTCCTCTCTATGTTGATGCATACATTTCTTCCACGTTATCCAACAATCTTTGAATTAATACTATACAAAATGGCGATAAAATTATACATGCAGTTTTTACGTTAAGTGAGTGCTAATTTCCAACCGATCTCCAATTTCAAATTTTGTACCTATAGTTACATGATGAGATGTATCCATCCGCGATTACGGATCACGAATTGTTCACCATTTTTTAGGAACTCATATCGGTTGTTCACCATTTATTTGACCTGTGGCCTGTCCACGCTCCTCAAAGAGTCCTGTCTCCGCCACCAAGCAGGCCTTCAGGCGGGGTAGTTCACCTTGGACTCGTAGCACTTCCCAGCATTCCACCCGGCGGGGACGACATTGTTGGCGACGAGCACCTTGCCGGAACTCGAGGTGAGCCGGAAGGAGAATGGGGCTTCCAGAGGCTTCCCGGTCTTGGACTCCATGCACCACAGGGCGCCCCACGACTGCCGCATCTTTTCCCACTTGGCGTAGCCTTTTTTGCCGCCGGCCTCCATGACTTCCACGGAGTTGAGGTCTCCGTCGCCGGCCTCGTATTCGACCAGCATGGCGAGGTAGAACGGGTTGGCGCCCGAGTCCATCTTGAAGCTAATCTTCTTGCCATGGTACTTGCATGGCACCCTGATGAAAGAAAAGTAAGAAACCAACATCTGATGCTCGGCCTATCACAGCACATCCGTACGTGTGCAGAACGTTAATCGGACGAGATCGATCTGTAAGACAAAACTTGAATGCCTTTTTCACCTCTCGAATTCGATATTGAGGACTCCGGCGTTACGTAGTTTCTCCGCCATCCCGGGCTTGGCCAAGGCGCCGAAGGCGGTGCCGCTCATGTCGAAGTGCGGCCTCTTCTGACACTGCGCGTCGGGGCACTGGTCGGTAATGACGACGGTTACGTGTTTGCCGGAGCATTCCGGGTTCTCTTTGCACCTGATCTGTAGGCCATTTGATTAATTAGCACACCAAAATAATCTGAACGTCAAACGTGGCACATGGAACAAACGACTGTGTCGTCCACCTGATAGCATGAACCGCAGCCTTTGCCGTTCTTGAAGATGCCCGCTCCGCCGGCGGCGATCAACGACGAGAACGGGTCCTGGCCGACATCGCTTTTATAACCACACGCGCCACCTGCGTATCGCATTGGCGTAGTAGAGTGAGTTTTCTTGCGTTGTCGCCAGTTATCGTGCGTCAAATTCATATCCATGAATGTACCTTCGCTGCCGTCGCCGTTAGGGCCGCCGTACCACGTTGCGCCGCCGTTCGCCCAGCCGTGCGTCGCCCTTGGGAGTGATAGGATTGACAGGACGGCGAAGGTGGCAAATAGGAATATGCCTCGCCTGCAAGCCATTGTTTCTCTTGGTTGACGGAATGAAGAAAAGATACTATTTGATGGCATGTATATATATAGGTACCGTTTTATAGTAACGATTGGTCAACTTGCAAATCTATATATAGGGATTATTTGGGTGGTACATATAGGACAGTTTTAATTATAGGAGGACTATAGACATGAGAATGTGGCGCAACTATAGTTAGTTTTTCGTTGTGTCTAAGTGCATCTCGAACGCCGTCCACTAAATCGGACACCGCATTTGTCCGAAGACGGGAAAGGACCAGTCCACAAATACGGATGCGTCGGTCATCCAAAGCTGTCTGCATATGTCCCGTTATATTTCAAAATTTCAATGAAAATAAACAAATTTGATGCACATTTGAACGCATCAGATAATCTTTCCCTAATAATAAAGCACGGATTGACTCCTTGGCTTTACCGTCATAATACGCTTTTTTCCTTAAATTTACGCTTTCAGTTTAAATTTAAAACATATACGCGAGGTGGTACTAATGTTGCCATCGGTATAGAAAACGACTTGAATCGCCGACTTGAATCGCTACTTTGTGCTACATCGTCCCTCCTACTTCGTACGCCAGCTATACTGGGCCGATATGGTGATGGGCTTCCTCCCAGGCTTCATTGGATTACGATCGAAAAAAATAGCAGCTCCGTTAGAGGAAAAACAGAGGAGGGGGAGGGGCGGCGCTCATAGCGAGCTGCAGCTGGGGTCCATGGGAGGAGCTCGGGCTCCTCGGTGGCTGCCTGCTGCGTGGATTGGTTTGGGCGCACTGGGTCAAGGCCGGCCTTCGGTGGGGGGCGGTGCGAGCTCTTTGCTCGGGGCAGGAGGCGGCTCAATGAAGAGGAGATGGGGCGCGGCGCTCCCTCCTGCTGCGGCGCACAAGGGAAGGAGGAGGGGGTCGACAGAAAGGAGACGGGGAAGTGGAGGAAAGGGGCCAACAGAGGCGTCGGAGTTGGAGCCGGGGCGGAGAGCCAGCGGACGGCAGAGGCACCATGGCCTGCCGGCTGCAGGCAAGACGGGAGGCCCGCTGGAGGACGCGTGCGATTGTGTGTGAGGCAGCCTGCTATAGGGGCGTGCATGCGGCGCACGGGCAGGGTGGTTCGGCGAGGCATCAAGCAACATGATGGGCGTGGGCGGGGCACGCTGCCCGGGCGAGAGGAGGGGCAGTAGGGAGGCGTGGAGGAGGCGGTCGTCGCCAGTGGCGGGGCCGCCCACCATCAACACTGTCGGTGGAAAACGGCACATATGAGATCACTGGAATCCCTTCCGCGGTTGAGGGGCGCGGAATCGTGAGAAGAGCGGGACTAGGGGATGGCACACAGGGAATTTACCTAGGTTCGGGCCGCAAAGATGCATAAAACCATACGATCCTGTTTTGGTGGTTGTATTAGTGTTCTTGAGCTCTCGAACTAGCTCTGGGTGTTGCGAGGTTCAAAAGAGCCGAATCCCTTCTCAGTATGCCATGGCCCTCCTTTTATAGACGAAAGGGGCTGCCACAGTGGCACACAGGAGGTGGAAAGTGCTACAGCATTACGAGGTTAATTATCACTAGTATTACAGGACAAGACGCATTAAATGCGGGGCTTAGGTGTCCGTCACTTTATTGGGGGACGGGGGTGAGGCCCGTCTCGTCCGTCGCCGCCCCTCCTGGCTTCGACACACGCCCCGGTCAGCAACGCATGCGGCGCCATGTAGGCAGGCAGGCAGCTGAGGTGGCGCGGTGATGGAGCCTCCACGAAGGTCTGCATGCTGCCACGCAGGTGCCTGCCGAGCTGGTTGGGTCGGTGGCTGCGCATGAACGGCGGTAGGAACTTGGCTGGTGCGGGCTTGGCAGTGGCCTTGCCGGGACGCTTGGCGATGGTCTTGCCGGGTGCCCCGGCAAGGGTCTTGCCGCGGCGCGCCGGCTTCCCCGGCAAGGATCTTGCCGGGGGGTCCTGTGGGTTTCTTCGATGGGGATGGTTGCCTTCCTATCCCCATTTGATCTTGATTGCTTTATGTCTTCACAAAGATCTGCATGCCACCACAGAGGTGCCTCCCGAATCCTATCCCAACGCGACTGCTCAGCGTTGGTGGGCTCGAAGGTGGCTCGCTCAGTGGGTGTGGACGAGCTGCCCCGGCAAGGATCTCGTCGGGGCTGCTGGGGCTGCCCTCGGCAAGGGTCCTTGCCGGGGCAACTTGCATTGCCCATGCAATCTTTGTGGTATTGGTCCTTTGTTGTTGTTTTGCTTTGCTTGTCCCTGTGGCCTTGGCTTTTCTCCGGCTTCCCTCTCTTGCCTTGCTCATGTGCGGTCGTGGCAGGCGGCTCTGAGTGCCCGTGCACAAGTAAAGGGGTCAAAAGCTAGGCCCCTACTTTTGTGCACCGACAGGAGCCCCCGGGCCTGGGTCACACATAGGCGCAACGCGTTGTTGGGCCAGGCCCAGAACGGTGAGCGGGTAGTTGAGGCGGATTTTACCACGGCCACTGTTTCGCCTGCTGCGCCTCCACACGACCTGCATTGAACGCATGACGTGGGGGTCTTGCGCGCGCATGACGTGGGCACGCTGGCGTCACTTTTCGGTGGACAGTAAAGAGGCGGCTTGCGTGTCTCTTCGAGACCGCATGGCCGCCTCCCATTTACTGCCCTTGCTCGGGAACCGTTGTTCCATGCGCCCCATCGCGCCCGCTCCTTGCGCCACGTTCACTGCATGCAGAGCGAATGACAGGCGCAGGGCTCGTGGATAGTCGCGCGCGTGTGGGTTGATTCCCATGCGCTTTCAATGGAGTGGGGAGGGCGGTCAACGGCCCTGCACGTTGTCATCTCAAGAGGCCGGATTGGCTGAGAGGGGGCGGCCGAGCCTCGCCCCTGCCCCTTTATAAAGAGGGGCACAGGAGGGATGGTGCCTCCCAACCTTTCGCCGGCTGCCTCTTTCCATCTCTGCTTCCTTTCTTCTTCTGCTATGGCGAGGGGGCGTGGCGATGCTTCATCAATGGCGGCGAGGGTTTCGGCCAGACAGCGCATCACTCCTCCCCAAGAACTCGTAGCGGCGGAGCCGGCCGCTAGAGGGAGTGGAAGGGGGCGATGCTGAGGCCGCCGTGGAGCCCGGGGGAGAGGAGGACGGGGCGGCAGATACGCCTCGCCCCCTCTAGCAGCCCTTCCTCCGATGGAGGGCCATGTTGAGGATAATCCCTGCGAATTCTTCGTCAAGCTGCGCCATCTGCCACGTCGTCGCCTTCGCCTTCCGACCCCGTTTGCACGGGAGATGGAACTGGATCCGCCGCAGGCGCTGCGGCTACACATGAGGGGTTGCGGGAACAGCGACACGTGGGTCGACGTCGAGTTCCCCGCCCCTCACATCATGTATCTTCACCGAGGGTGGAAGACCTTCGCTCGCCTTCACAGCTTGACAGACGGGCTCGCTCTCCATTTCAAACTAATGGAGGGCGGCCTCCTCTCCATTAAGATCCTCAAGCACTTCGGGACCCGCGTGAGGTGCTGCATAGAGAGCTCTCTGACGATGAAGAGTTCTCCTCAAGCGAGAGTGGCGAGGAAGACAACGGCAGCGACGACGAGGACAGCGGGCGGCAGGATGACGGGTCCGACTAGGTGTCGGGCGCTGCAGCGAGCGGCACCGGCGACCCCATCATCTGTGTTGCCGTCTCCTTGAACTTCTTGGGGTCGCCTTCTTGGGCGGCTGGCGTAGGGAGGCTGTGGAAGAGGAAGAGGACGAGCGGCAAGGCCCTCAAGTCGGAGTACGCGGACACCGACGCCTTCGTCGCGTGTTGGCGTCCTGCTGCCTCATCTTCGAGCTCTGCCTCTGGCGCCGCCATCACCATCCAGCCCTTGGACGGCCACCGAGATGTTCTCTCGGTGTCTTCTTCCACTCGTAGCTCGCCTAGGCGCCCATTTTGCCCTTCTGCTTTCTCGTTCCATTTCCTGAGGAGAGGGACAAGAAAGGGATTACGGGCACCTTATATCTTTTTAGTCTTGTAAGCCTTCGGGCCTTTGCTAGCTTTAGAACTTGTAATCCCCCTTTTTCATATTTTTCATTTCGTTTGGACTGTACCTGTACGGGATGTTTTTTAATGAAAAAGGGATGTTTGCCGGGGATTTTCGTTCATGGGAGGAACCCACGACAAGGGGTGAGTCCTTGTCATCCTTAAGACAAACGTTTTTCCCGGCAACATGCCTTGCCGTCTTCCCACCTCGCTTGACCTTTCCCACGCTCTTGGCGGAGGCAAGGATGAGGTGGGCTTCGGCCCCTCGTTCCCCTCCTCTGCTGCCGCGGCTACGACCAGATCCAGACCCATGAAATAATCCTTGGGTGCCGAAAAGGGGGAGCACAGTAGCTCAGAGATAGAACGGGGTTTCACGCATCCCAGTCCATAACGAAACGCATGATAGGGGATAAAAGACTTATCTGGATTTGCAGCCCCGGGCAATTTTGGCTTGCCGCGGAAGGATCCTTGTTCTTGCAGCCCCCGGTAATTCTGGCATGTCGGGGCCCGGGCGCTGGTCCATTCCTTTTCTTTCAGGACAGCTCAACAAGAATACTTACATGCCCTGCGAACCAAAGAAAGACAGAAAAGAACAGAGAGACGCGCACTCGACCTCTGATAACCCACAAGTATAGGGGATCGCAACAGCTTTCGAAGGTAGAGTATTCAACCCAAATTTATTGATTCGACACAAGGGGAGCCAAAGAATATTCTTGAGTATTAGCAGTTGAGTTGTCAATTCAACCACACCTGGATAACTTAGTATCTGCAGCAAAGTGTTTAGTAGCAAAAGTGGTATGATAATAATAGTAACGGTAGCAAAAGTAAAGATAGATGTTTTTGGGTTTTTGTAGTAGTTGTAACAGTAACAACGGAAAAGTAAATAAGCGAAGAACAATATGTGAAAAGCTCGTAGGCAATGGATTAGTGATGGATAATTATGCCAGATGCGATTCCTCATGCAATAGTTATAACATAGGGTGATATAGAACTAGCTCCAATTCATCAATGTAATGTAGGCATGTATTCCGTAAATAGTCATACGTGCTTATGGAAAAGAACTTG